TGATAGGGGAACGAGCTGGGACGATCTATGAAGTTGACATAAAATAGAGTCCCTTGTCTCTGCTCATTCTGACTGATCTGGCATAAGTCCTTTAGCGTGAGAATCTCTACCCTGACAACGGAAAAATGGTACACGAAATGGTATTCCATCATTAAGAGTTTCCTACAGCGCGGTATTAATATGCCTCTCGAAGACATGATGACAAAAAAGTCTTGAGGGTTAAAGACGCCCCGTTGACACTCACCTGAAAAGCGTGAGAAAATGGTTGGTGTCTCGCCAGGGGTCAAGACTTTGCCCTTGACTCAGCATTCTTGTGATAACGGAAACTCCGAGAAGAGACTGGAAGTTAGGGGCAGCAGGTGCTATGTTGCTCATTTTTTTTGTCAGTCCAGCAGTTTTCCCAGTCATTGCTTATGTAACTACTGTTGAACTAATAAGGAATGGGAATACACATATCATTCGACATTTCTTCTGAGTTCAGCGAATTTTCGAATTGCAATTGATACCAGGTGAACCTGCTGAGCTGTGCCATGCTAGTTTAATTTGAACTTTTTGAGTTAGTTGCAATGTTGTATTTGAGAGCTGAATTCGCAAGCAAGTCACAGCTGTTAAGTTGATTATGTCACCCCGTACAACGTGTTCCCATTACAGAAGAAATACTCGATCTCATGTCCATCGGTAATGATACCGTATCCGCCGTCCATTTGTCAGTTTGTGCCGCCATTTCCATTATCGGCACATGTGATGCCAGTGAGCCCCTCATCACCATCGTCCAGCATAGCTGCAAGCAGCGAAAGCAGTAAGTTCGTTAAGGTGTTCATTTCAAAGCCCACATGGAGGCAAACTGTACACTCACTTTCGGGAACGTTCTTTTTCTGATGATGAATGGGTCCACAGCTGCAGTAACGTGCCACTTTCTCCGGTCCAAAGTGCCCCGAAACGGGGCTGGAAAGTAACAGTAGTACTCGTGGGCTGTTTCAGTACTCCGCCATCACTATCGCCGATTTGCAGCGGTCGCATCGATACCAAGTTTCCGCATAGTAATATACACTCACCGGTGAAGAGTAATCAGAAAAGAGAGGGCGTAGACTGGTAGCGCGTTCGGCTATGTTTAGTCGTGCGGCAGCGCGAGCGGAGTATGAAGACTGCACCCGGGTATTACTACGTTCCAGCCCCTTTCCTGTGCTTTTTTTTGCCTGGAGGAGGTGACAAGCTACTGCAGCTGCGGACCCATTCTCCCCACACAGGACAGTGACAAGGTTCCAGAGGTGAGTGTACAGTGTGTCTCTAAAAGTTTGGATACATGTCTTCACGATTCCAACATACTAGTTGTCATCCAATTGAAAGCTTCGAGTAACGGCCGATCGGACAAGTTGCCAATTTCTTTTCACTTCAATCTTTCTTGCCAATATCTCCCTTTGTTGCTGTGGCATGGATAAAAACTTTCATTATCACTCACGGGATTGAGTGATAAGCTGAATAATCAGTCACTATTAGTTCCTTGATTTCCAAGAGTTGTAGAGCCAAGGGATATCCTGGAGAGTTGACTCCTTTCCACTGGTACATACTGCTAGTGTTTCCATTAGTCCAAATACAGTGTATTGATCCATTCGCATAAGCAAGCCGCTACCTGTTTCACCTCTGGAAAGGCTCCCCCTTCCGGAACTCCCCCACCTCCATTCCTGGATCAAAAGTTTTTTTCCTCCTTGGATTACGATGCGATCTGGAACTATGTGCCGGGGTGGTTGTAACCTCGCCGAACATCCGCGAATTGTCGCATCCCCTCACAACAAACACTCAATACCACTAATCCTCTGTACCGTACTAAAGCAAAATAAAAACGCAAAACACAATTTTTGCTGGTGGACAGCCCTTCCCCAAGGGTGCGTAGATCCTCTGAAGGGAGAGAAAGAAAAGAAGAAGAAAAAAAGACAAACGAACTGTTTGTGTCGCTACAAGCGCGGCGCCAGAACTGCCATGCCTGATCGTTGGCTCCACTTCTGTTTGAGCGGATGTATACTTGTAATTTCAGTGATACAAGTACCAAAACACAGCGAGAACGAAATTAAACAGACCCGTTCGAAAATTCTTATCGACCTTGAAAATGAGGAAGGTTCTAATTTGAATGCAATGTTATAGTTCACCTTCCACGCCCCTCAAAAAAACCCGTTAATGTCCAACAAAGTGAAAAGAGGAACGCGTGACTGTCATGCGAAATCCTGTGGCAAAGACATTACGGTCGTCATTTGGCTCTACAAGGGGCACCTACGCACTCACCCCAAGTATCGTGTTCTACCTCATTTTCTTCTGCTTTTCCTGAAAGAAAGTTATGGCATCATGCCTGGGGAATCTCAGCCCGCACCTGGAGAAGCAGGGGGCGGGGCATAGTTGGTTTACGTATTTTTTTGGTTGGTTGTTGGTTTTTTCCACACTAGCGCAATGTTCATCACTGTGAGTCTCGTAGTGAGAGGGGTGGTCTTTTTGCAAAATTTTCTCCTAACGGCAGGACGTGCCCTGTTTAGATCAGATCTCAAAAAAGTGTTGAGCCTTAGCTAATGGTAATGGTAAGATTGCTAATTACGCAGTAGTGACAGGCGCGAACTAAGGTGTGGAATAAGTGGGGTTGTCGGGTCGCATCATTTCTGCTAAGTGCGTTATCTTATGTTTATTATAAAAAAGAACATTCATAAATGCGCAAGGTATCGTACCCGTTGTTCTTAGTTTTCGTGACCTTAATGCTATGTAGCCTTTGCACGTGCTACGAAACGTGCTGCTCTGCAACCATTTCATGTTTTGTGCGTCTCGATCCTGCGCCCTTTGCGTCTGGACGCTGAATTTTTTTCCTTATTTGATAACGTTTCTTGAAAATTGCAGCCGATACCTCAGGGGTTCCATGTATTTTGATTTCTTCCTGGGAACTAATGGCTGAGGATCATCTGTTAGCTTCTAAGCTCTAGCGTTAGCGCAGCAGGAGAATGGTCATTGCGAGCACTAGATTTGTGCAAATTGATAATCGGCTTTACAGTAACCCGAACTAATATTGTTCGCTATCAGTTCAGCTATGATCTCGATAGGGTGCTCGGAACAGTTCTTTAGGAGCTTTCGCTTTTTTCCGGCATTGTTCTACTGTAATTGTTTCATTAGTATACATTCGTCTTGCAGCTGGTGAAAAGCCATTTTCCTGTAATGTCTGTGGAAAGGCGTTCGCTGACAAAAGCAATCTTCGTGCTCACATCCAGACGCATAGTAGTGAGTTTCTAGACACTGACAGAATTCAAATTTTATTTTTCTACCAATTGTTTGTATGTGTGAGCTCGCCGTGAAAATTGTACGTTCCTGCTCTACTTTGTGAGTGACAGGTCATCTGTCAACCGGAAATTCTCTCGCTACGAGGGTCTGGAAGTTGTTTTCTCGTCGCGTCTTTTAGGCAGCGTTCAGACTTCGCGATGGCAGCGCTTCGGTCGCGCGTTCGACGCGATCGATGCAGTCGAAAGCATGCGCATCGATCGTCGAATCGCGCGACCGAAGCGCTGCCGTCGCGAAGTCTGAACGCTGCTTTAAGCATGCATTCGAGGTTGGTTGGGCGGGGGGGGGGTGGGGAAGAGGGGTGTGTGGCAGGAGAATCGTAATACGCCGCACTGGTGAGCGTGCGACGTCGCACCCGCTAATGACGACGATTTTAGGTGGTGTTGGTCGAGAATAGACAATGTATGACATAAGTGTCTACCATGTCTTTGTCTGAATGAAAGATGCTCCAGTCGAAAGGGTAGTGCAACTTGAAGAACGGCGTGCCCACTGCCGCGCACGATGGAGCGGCAATTCACGATTCTCTTGCCCGTCTCCTGGGGAAGAGGGGCGGATTGAGCAAGAGGGAAGAGATAAGGAAGGAAATGAAGGAATAAGGAAGAAAAGGAAGGATGAGGGGGTTTCGCGGTTGACACTCTGATCCACTTTCTGATATGCCAATTTCCAACCACATGGAATTCGACCTCTTGCGACAGGTGCAACGAAAAAATGTAGCATGTTTGAAAGTGTTTTTAACTTGCTGTCCATATCGCATTATTGAAAAGGCTAATTGAACCTTATTGTTATTATCACTCCGTTCAACTTTATGCAAAAGCTATGTTCCAGGCGAGAAACCTCACCATTGCCTGCGTTGTGGGAAGCGATTCGCGCTGAAGTCGTACCTTAGCAAGCATGAAGAGTCGGCTTGCTATCGCTCCTCTTCCACTGGATCTGGTGGCAATCCCAGCGAGACGGTACCTGTTCCTGTTTTGCATCAACCCTTGTCAATGTCATCCTTGCTCAAGTGACATGTTCATAACTAATTGTATACTTGCTGTAATAGTAGTACTAACTACTTACCGGTACCTACCGGATCCGAGCTGTCAGCGCGCTCCCTTTCGTTCATTGTTTTATTGCCTGTGTGCTGTTACCTTTGTAATTTTTCCTATTAAAATCTTCAAAGTTTCGCAATTTTGTATGAGAGCGTTTTGAACTGCGATGCTGTGGAAAGCTGCAGCTAGCTGGAGCTGCTTTGTCGAGTGTACAGCCTTAGGCTGTGTGACAGTGCAGCGTCCCAAGATCGTAGTACTATTTTTCGCTTCCTTATAGATGTATATATAGTAATAATTTATATTTGCATGTATTTACTGCTGTATATCTCCTATCGAGCTTTTCGCGCGTTTTCATTTTCATGATTGCCTTTAAGTGCGTGTAATAACCATATATGTGCCTTTTAAAGCTCATTTTTAGCAATAGTAGTAACTATTTTTGTTTTTTAAGGTTGCGCAGTAGTGTTACGTTAATATTACTGATGAGTTTTTGAGCTTGATAGATTGTTTTTACGCATTCTGTCTAATAATCGTCATAAAGATTAAACAATGATTCACGTATGTGCTAAAGCTGGTGCGTCCACCACAGCCGGTATGTGACAAGACAATCGTAATGTGCTGCACTTGTAGGCGTGGCGAGACGCCGCGCCCGGACGAGTTGTCCTTTTTGCCCCTTTGAATTTGAGAGAAGAAGGGAAGGGAAAATTCGGTTCAGCTCTATATGGGGTCTACGCTTGAATTCATATGAGTTTCGCCGCTCCAGTCAACAAACTTGTGCATATTGAGGACTTGCGCACATCGCCGTACGGTACGCCGAGGGCGATGACTCGACAAATTACCATTGTCTTGTCCATCCCCTATCGCAGCTGGGTATACTGGAATAACTTCTCATCGAGTTTTCTCTCGTGTCGATCTTCCAGCTTTACCCTCAGTGTTGAAGAGTTCTGAAAGCTCCATGTTATAGGTATAAGTCAGTTCGTTCGTGATGGGAAAGAAGAGGTGAGTGAACATCGGAACCAAAGCATTCTTCAGAGTCGGTCTCTGGCCTTAAAAGACTGGTGTATTGCGGATAAAAAAGGGGCCCTGTTGGCACTATCTTGGGAATTTATCTGAAAGGCCATTGGTTTTTCTGCGTTCCCTGGATACCTTTTCGAAGACAAACAACCAGAAGAAGCATATTTCCGCAAGGCTAGATGCCTTTAAACTTGCTTGAATTCACTAGCGAAGCAATTGCGTTGTTACGAAACCTCGTTGTGCATTACTTACCGTAACCATGATTTCGTACATCGAGTTTTCGCCAGCTATTCTCTGTTTCTAGTTTCGAGTTTTCGCCAGCTATTCTCTGTCACTAGTTTTGTTAAAATGCTTTTTTTCTAGCGTGGATGGCTTTTAGTACTGAAGGTTGCGAAGAAATGATCTGTTAGCGAGGCGTCATCTTGAAGCCTCAGGGGGCGCAGTTTGTCGACGGGAGGGGGCATTCGGCTTTTCATAGATGTGCCGACCCATCTAGGTAGCCTTTTCTCGAGTTGACACGTTTTAGGATGGTGGCTAGACAATCCTGCACCAGCTTCACAAGGTTCACAAGTTTTACCAGGGTCAGATTTGTGAACTGGATAGGGAAGCAGTGGTA